AATTACAATATTGTAATAATCCTGAACAAGACTTCGAGATATATATATTTATATCTGTGTGCGTTTTCTAAACCTTGTAATTTTCCTCCTCCTCCTCCTCCTCTCAGTTGCAGTGAATTCTTGGAAGGAAAATGTCGCCGAACGTCAGACAAATCAATATTTCTGATCATGACAAGCAACGGGGCAGGCACATCGGCAACCATGATTGGTTCATCAATATTCAGATTTCACTTCATTTAGTTTCATTTAAAAAGATAAATGTTCTTGTTTTAATTCTTCTTTTTCATAATATCTTTAGTAAATGTATGTGATCTAACATTTTGCCTTATTTTTTCATTAATTTATTCGACACGTACACAGCATTTTACTTTTCCCATATATTATTCTTTTCAGCATTAATTTAGTTAATGAATATTGTACCATATCTTGTCTGTTCTGCATTGCGTCTTTGAAATCCGTAGTCAGGAGCTAGTGGGAAGGAAGTAACTTTGCACTTAATTTTTCTACTTCCTCCTTTAATTTGACAATTTACAATATTAAATATTTGTCAAAACAAAAAGAAGGACGAGTAAAATGTGCCCGTTGAGTGATTTTCAAATAGGATCTTACATATATTAGTCAGCAAACTAACTATTTTGCTATTTTTGTTTTCTATCTTAAAACTACATAGACATCTCCAGACCCCCGCTTTAGTTTATAATATATTTTCCAAGATGAAAACAGTTCAGGTGGTGTCAACATAAATTAAAGTAGGATTATATATATTTGGTATGATGGTGGCATATATTAGGTTTACACCTGCCTCTTTGGCTGAATTTGGAGGCTATATACCGGCCAGTAATTTATTTTAAACTAAACTAATTGCTGAGCAGTACGTGGTCCTATTTATATCATTTCTCACTTGTGAAAAGTTGTTTGGGTTGCAGGCTCAAAAGGTCCCACCCCCAACTAAGCCTTTCAAATTTCCTGCTCTTTCCCATACCCATCATCCTCCTTTAATTTAAAATCGCCATCCCTGTTGCCCCTTTTGATATATATACATGAGTAGGCTTCAACCACTTGTGATTGCATATAGATGTATGTCCCTTAATTCACCATGACTTTCCTAGCTAGCTAGCTAGCTGGACATGATTAGTCTTTCTTCCTTGTTTCTTCTTCGACTCTCTCTGTGTTAGACATCATCAAGGTGCATGCCGAGCAAGATGGAGAAGCAGGGCACGTGCAATGCTAACTCATCAACCACTGAAAGACGTTCAGTTAGGTGCAGTGAGTTAGTCTTTCATGTGCCCATCTTCCCCATCATGACCATAGCGCCTTTGTTATAGCATCTGGAAAGCTGCGCTCAAGGAGGACCGGCCATCACCTGCTGCTTGATGCTCCATATCCACGTTGAAGGTGACTCCACATTAATTGTTTTCATTTTCATCTTTCCTCTTCTTATTATCAGTTCTTCATTATCGGCATTAGATCTTTTATATGATGAGAAGATTATTGGAAATAATATTACAAGAGGGACCTCAAAATCTATACTTTTAAGGCTCTTAATAAGTCAGTGGCTTGGAATATGGGGGTGAGTTTTTTTAGAGTACATTGTTTTAATAAACATGACATGTTAAGCTAGAGGTATTCACCAAATGCTGCATAAACGTTAAAGAAACCTAGATATTATTTTCGAAAACACACTGTTTCAGATCTGATTATATATCTAGCTCCAGTCTTTGAAATCAATGAATATATGTGTTAATTCGAAAAATAACAAAACTAAAATATATACTAGCTTCCGGTTGTCTCAACCCATTCTTACAGAGAGACTTGCATAGAAAAAGAACTTGTTATTTTATTGCTGAATTTTGTTTGTGTGCGCTCGCTGACATTTGTAAACTAAGACGGGAAATAATGGATCTAACAATCTAGAGACTACTGAAATTGCTAAAGATAACCATGGAAGAATGGTGAGTGGTATATCATCCATGTGGCAAGATTATATGGCAGCTCATGGCAAAAGGGGAGCTTCTAGTTCTGGGTTCATTTCTCTTATAGAACAATAACCTTAAAGCATCTATATAATGTCTGGAGAAAATGTCATTCTCACCGAAGCACTGCCTGGTGACTTGACCTGCATATGACTTTTATAATAATGAAAACGACCGAGGTGATTTATGAGTCAGTGGCTCATTTATCTATCCTTCACTAAGAGCTTAAAGCTTATCATTGTGCGCACTTGTATAAAGTACTGATCGATGCTTTGCTACTTTCTCTCATATGCCATACCTCATATATATAAACTTCTTATTCTTTTTCCTTCCATTAAAGTATAAGCTTACTAAAAATTTTGTTGTTCAAAATCAGAACAGCAATCAGGTAAAAGCAACAGCGAACCACGAGAAATAATCATTTATGCGTATTAAGAGCGTCTATATACATCTTCGTTTCTTGCACCACCTTAGTTATTAGCGTTAAGCGCTAACTCTTCAACACACAACTTCATCAAGTAATATAACCTTAAGGAAAAGAATGACCGTATGTGTGTATATATGATGATTATAAGTCAATTTGTATGCTGAAAATGAGAGATTCATAAAGTTCCACTTGATCCAAACCTAAAAATTAAAGTGGTAAAATTAACTAACTGAAAATTTGAATGTCCCTAGCTACAAATCACATACTGATAAGTCTTTTTGTTTCAGCAATAATCCTTGAGGTAAACTATAAAGAACCTGTTCCTTTTGTTATACAGACATGGGGCCGCGGAAACAGATGAAATAACAAGGGTTGTTTAGCTCGTGGGACAGGATAATTAATTTTGTGGGTTACCGAGAATGTTTCCTGATAAGAATTCACATTGTCTTCGGTATATGTTTAAAAAAATATCTTCTTACATACGGACGATATTCATGGGAAAATGATATGATATACTCATATACACATACAAAAAGCCCCATTTTGATTCCCGCAGGTGGGAATATGCTGGATTTCCCTCTCTATTTGGAACATAAATTTCAGGTTTTTGTGAAGCAACGTGAGAACGTCATGCATGTGTAGAAGAAAATTATATTTTCAGAAATCTAAACAACGTAATATATCTATATAAGGTTGGGAAACACAAGAAATGGTCCTTAAAAGGCTACTTTTGGAGAGGTTTGAATTTTCAGCGTTAGTTATTTACGCTCCACCTTAATTACTATGTGGTTGTCACATGATGCTTGGGTGAAGCTGTGCTGTCCTTAGTGATTACTAACTCACATGTACATGTGTGTGTTTACACACGCGCGCGCGCGGGGCAAAACATGTATCAATCAAACTTTTTCTAATTTCTTCTGGTTTACAGTACCAAGGAAGTTGCCTTTCAGCCTTGCCCTAACCGGTTACTCCCTCCTCCGTACTAAATATATGACTTTTTTACTTAATCTCACCAATTAAAAGGGAAGAAAAAAAGGCACTTTCTCTCGCCAGGGAAGTTTCTTTGCAACCGACAATTTGTCACATACTCATTCTGTGAGTGCTATATACGTAGATGTGCATGCTTAGTTAGATGATTGATTATATATTTAGGTAGTTATTCTGTTTTCTAAAGTGATGGATCTCTTCAGATTTTATCTTGAGTTTAATTTTTTCATTTTGATGGCGTTATTTATTCTTTCTTAATTTTTCTTTGATACTCTAAATAATCCATGGGAATATGGAAAATAATATTTTCTCGAAAGCCAGAATTGGTTTGGCTTTAGAATCCATATGCTTGTGTAAGCAGTCACCTGAAGCCGGAAAAGCTGAAAGTGGAAGAAGCCTGAAAGCACTCTTACATTAGTGCTTATCGTGTTTAGATTGATAAGCCTGAGTGATATCACACCCATTTTTAATTTTAAAATGTCATTAAAATTTTAAATTTGAAATCATGTAGGAGTGTGTGGTGACTTGTGTGTACGTATTGCTGTACTGATAGAAATACGAGGTGTTAAAATACAAGTATTATTTGCCCAAGACCAGAAAATTTTGATATACACATACATACATATATATAATTTTACATATAAAAGACTGGACTTAAATGTTTTATGTAAACTATAATGCTTAATTATATAATAGGAAGCTAATAGATTCACTTACGATGGACTTGTGTGCATAAAATGAACAGTTTGATGATATATTATTAAATTTTGGGAATAAAAAATATTTACACATGATATATATATTTTATGGCATGGTGCCATCAATATTTTCAATCTTGAATCAATACTTATGGTTTGTAATCGTGGCTAAATAAGCAAATAAAATTCTTCACCAATAATTTAGCTGGGAACTTGTAAAATATATAAATTCCAAAAGCCGCTCAACCACAGAGTCAGAGTGCGGCCACTATTTAGTGTTGGCAAAGACTAGTTACTTTTTCATGATAAAGTATATGTGACTGAGATTTAATTATATTAATTAAATTAAATACAGCAATTTGCAAATAACATCTTTGACTTTGAACATTCAACAAGGAACCCTCTTTATTTTCTAATTTATGCAAATAATCCCCGAACGTTACTTTATTCATTACTTCATTAACGGAACATAATGTGGCATTTAACAAAATAACATGCCAACCAATAGTGAGGGATGCTATTTGACCAAACTTATAAGTTTAAAGAGGGTTGTTTTTTCAAATTAATTTTTTTTAAAATTTAATAAGATTACTTGCATATGATTAATCTGAAGGAAGATATGTATATATTTTAGCTTGAATAAAAATGATTTATGGATCTAATATATCTGAAAATGTTTTATTTACTTGGACTAAAACCTTTGCGGAGATCGGAGGCAATCCCGTTGAATTCAAGGGCCTCACTGTGTGTGGCCCAAAACAAATGAGCCGTATTGTCCATTGCGCATTCGGCTGCATCAATTTGTCACGAGACTGCAAGACTTTTTTGGCCCCCAAAAGAAGTAATACTAATGGTAATAACGGTAATAACAATAATGATACTTCCTTTTTTTTTTACCAGAAATAATGATGCTTCCTTAATCACTGGATTCAGATCCTATCTATATATATAAAAGAAGAGAGCTGGATCTCAGAGCTCGAGAGAGAGAGAGAACCGATAAGCACTCTCAAGTTAAGGCTCCCCTTAACAGCATGGCTTACCCACCGGCACCCTCTGCCTTCGCCTCCGCGCCGCCCAACACGATCGCCGTAATCGGCCCCCAATACTGTGCTCCGTACCCGGTGGATCTAAGCGTTGTGGAGAAAGTGATGTCCATCTCCGACGGCAACTTTGTGGTCGCAGACATGCAAGGCAACGTCGTCTTCAAGGTTAAAGGCTCTCTCTTAACCCTCCGTGACCGCCGTGTCTTAATCGACGCCGCCGGGAACCCCATCGTAACTCTCCGCCGGAAGGTTTGTCTTTTTCCCCATAATTGTTTTCTTTCTTTCGTTTTGAGTGGTCCTGGTCCCACTTATTGATCTTCTCGCATTTGGAAGGGAATAGGAATATTATTTAATTATTCACTTCAGGAAATAGTGATGTAACATTCCAACATGGTCATTTGATTTTATTGTGATAAAATGATTTAATCGTGAGTTACGAAATTGAAAACTTAATATTTTTGTACATCGTACCCATAAGTTATAATCTTTAAAATTATTACACATACTCTGTAAGGTTGTTCTTAACATCTTTTTTTAAAAAGCATTATTGCTATTTTCGGATAAAAATATGTTCAGAGCATTCGAACACTAAGTTATAATGTTAGAAAATATCAATGATATTTTATTCGTGTGATTGTAATTACATACCCTTACGTAAAAATTTATACTACTTTCTCCTTTAATATAAAATATCGTTTGAGTTTTATTTTGATCATAAATATAAGATCTCAATCTATTATATCTCTCATATTTATATATCTTTATAATAATGATAGTTCTAACTAATACACTTGATTAACAGGGTATCAAATAACTAATTTAACTTATTTTCTTAATGTACTTAAATTAATTAACTAGGTGTTATATTTAAGATTGGAGGTAATATTTATTATGTCGTAATTAAATACCAATGCTGTGGGCTTCCTTTGCTATACAAAATAAAACAGCAAAATGATTTTTAGAACGAAAATGTTTTTATCTTCCAAAATAAATAAAAAAATCGTTTTTAAATATTAATAATAAATATACTATATATCTTGCTTTAACATCGTAAAAAGGGGGAAGGGAACTTTTGGCCTTTCGCCTAACTTGCAACTTGGTCCCTATGTTTTAATGGCAGTCAAATTGGTTCTTATGGTTTCAAAACATTAAAAAAAAAAAAAAAATGGTCCTCATGCGTGGAGTATCATATATTTCAAATGAAATGTGTTCACTAATTTTTTTGCCTTGTAAAAAAAAAACTACTTTTTTTTTGTTGCTAAAAAAATGTATAAACTATTACTACTGCTGCGCAAACTGATAGAATTGAATTCATTGAATGTTTTGAAATCATTTGCTTGAACATATTTGAAGTATGATGACCATTTATTAGATACTTCAAAATTATAAGAATCAAATTGATACCAATTAAAATATAAGGATCAAATTGCAAACCGAATAACACATCGGGAACTAGAAGTTATTTATTTTTCTCACATAAAAAAGGAGTCCTTTTTCTATTCCGGGTATGAAAGATTGGACATAACAAATTCAAAGAAGTTGAGGGTGTTGAGCAGCTAATCAGAGAGGGAACAATATTATGCACAGCCTGTGTGAAGCGAATATGCACAAGTCATAATCATAATCCCAACGAAAGTTTAAAACTAAAATTATGAATGCATATGGTAAGTATATATGTATACAGTAATGAAGAAAGAAAGAATGATTGTTGCAGATAATGACGGCACATGACAGATGGCAAGCTTTCAGGGGGGAAAGCACAGAAGAAAAGGATCTGATCTTCCAACTCAAGAGGTCGTCCTTAATCCAATTTAAGACCAAATTAGATGTGTTCTTAGCAAATAACACCAAGGAAGAAGTCTGCGACTTCAAGATCAAAGGTAGTTGGCTCGAACGTTCTTGCATTGTTTACGCCGGTGAATCTGACACCATCGTCGCCCAGGTACGTACTTTAACGTTGTCAAAGAGTGTGAACATGATGACTTGATCAATTAATCTATGCCCTGAATTGTGTGTGTTTGTTTTTTTTTTTTTTGGGGCAGATGCATAAGAAACACACAGTTCAGAGCGTATTAATAGGGAAAGACAATTTCATGGTAACTGTATACCCCAACGTCGATTATGCATTCATAGTGGCTCTCATTGTGATTCTCGACGAAATTAACGAAGACGGCAAAGAAGGCTAGAGACTTGCGGCAGTGTTTGATGCTCTATGTACCTTGGGCACTATTTATAATAACAAATAATAATTAAACTATCACTTGTCGTAATTTACAAATGTACCCTTGTTGTTATGGGTAAGGAGGTAATAATTGCTTTTAGCAGCTGGTTGCCCCTCACTGCTGCCACTGAGTATATAAGATCTGCGTGCCTTTATGGATGTTTATAAATCTTAAAACTCTTTTCTTTTTTTTTTGGTTTTTCCTATTCTGGTGAGATATGTCATGTTGTAATAATAAATATCTGGGGCTGTTTTCTATGCTTGTAAGCGTTGTATTTCTCCCTCCTCTTGTATCGGGTTCCCTTACAATCAATAGTAATATGTATCCTACGCAAAGTGTTCTTCTTCTTCTTATTATTATTTTTAGATGAGTGACGATATTCACAGATAGGTGGATACCATTGGCTGAGGCGTCTGGCCTTAAAGCTAGAGCATCAAGTTAAGAGATGAAGAAATTGGTGGTGTGTGATTTGATCTTCGCAGATGGGATTTGGAAGGGAAGGTGGTTGGAGGAAGAGGATATTAGATTAGCAGTGGTCAAATCTGATGATAAGGAAGCATGGCTGAGAAGTAGAGACGGTGAATACTCAGTTAATGAACATCTCAAATGAACTTAATGCCTGATGAACTGCATTCTCAAATAACTATAAACAAGCTAGCATCCGAAGTTGAGATTTGAACGGGGGAAAATTATGACCAAACTATCTGAAATAAAAGTATTTAAATATTTAATTGAAGTCAATGAAATGTAAATGGGAAACATTCAAGCATTAATAAAGGCAACTTATATCGTTGATCCTTTAGTGTTGCCTTTTTTTTTTATGTAAAAAAAAATCATAAGAATTAAGTACATTTTATCATAAAATTTACAAAACTGTTATTTATACTGAGAGACTTCATCCAAGTTTTCCTTTCTTTTTTGAAAAAAGAAGTCTAGTTCATAAATAAATTAATCAAATCGGGTTGGCAAAAGAATAAATAAATAAACTAATAAAATCAGGCTTTTTCCCTTCTTTTTTTTTTGTTTAGTTTTGGGGAGAGGATCAATACGGAGCGTTTGGGAGGCAGCAGCAGCTGCCCCTTGAAGTCGATCAGAAATCAATCTGGAAGCAACGCCTCCGCAGCACCGTCGACGTCGAGTGGCCCTTTCTGCTGCATACTTCATCCTTTCTTATTGTAAGTTATTATTTTCTTATTCCGCCCCATTATTAGAACTGATGGCTTATATATCAACTTAGGGATTATGTTTGTACTTTCAATTTGGAGAAATTTCAACTGCTCCCACTGTGTCTGGTTCTTCTACCACTTGCTTGCTCCGGTCTTGCTCTCTAAATTTCTTTTCGAAATCATAGCCTCTGTGTGTCTCTTCTTCCCTTCGCTTATTCAGTTGCTTTCCTCACTCTCTCTCTCTCTCTCTCTCACATTCTCTATCCATCTCCAATTTTTCATTCTTTCAATCCATTTCCTGCTCACTTTACTTCCACTGATAATATTCTTCACTAGTCGAAGTGTTTCGTCTATATTCCTCTTTCCAATTCCGCAGATATTATCGTCAATTTTTTTGTGGTTTTGTTATAAAAATTACATTTTTCTTTCGTCTTCCGAAGGCCTCTTGGTGGTACTTGACAAAAGCAATGGCCACGAGACTTAAATTGCTTGGGAACGCTGGAGGGAGAATGGCTAACATGTTAGGAATCAAAAGGTGGATGCATTCCAACCTTCATCCTGCACCTTTATCGGGGAGCATTTTCTACGGGGCTACATCACGCCGTTTCGCTTTGCCTGAGTTTAGCTTTCCCAGCTTCTCTTTTGGGGACTCTATGGAGCTCATGGCTGTCCCAAAAAAGAAGGTGCTGTGTTAACTTATCTTTCATCTACCATTTATTGCTCTTAATGGGAGCTTCATTCATTTCAAGCTCCCTTTCTTTCTGTCAATTGATTTTAATGTGTGCCGTATCAATCGATATATTATGGAAATGTTATATTCTGAATGATTGATTCTAGTGTCTTATTATTACCTCCTAATCCTATCTTTAATATTACCTCCGTTTCTAATTATAAGACCTCGTAACTAGAGGAAGTATAAGATCAGGGCTAATTGAAAATTTAGTTTGGTCCTAAATATAAGACCTCGATCTGTTTTGTTTTCAATATTTATCCATTTTGTTCCCGAATAATCCCCATAGTGATTGCACACATTAAAGAGGTTTAATCAAGAATGCACATAATTGATGAGGGTATTTTAGGAGAAAAGAACATCAATTTCTTACAAATAACTAACTCAACTAATTTTCTTAATATCTGTAAATAGTTATCTAGTTCTTATATTAAAGAACAAGTAGTATATTGCATATTGTTCTATTATTTCATTTTTGGAGTTGATTCTGTTTTTTCAATGGCTTTATATCTGATGTAGGTCTCTCGCCATAAAAGAGGAATAAGAAATGGACCAAAAGCTTTGAAACCTATCCCTGTGATAGTCCGATGCAGGTAAGCTCTAGTTTCTTTCTGAATAATGCTATCTGAGCTATGGTTACCATTCTGTGTGTAAATTCTCACGTATAGGAAATATTTGGGCGTTTTCATCATCAAATTTTGTGGAGTCTTTATGTTCTTTTAATGTGGTTTTAAAGTTCGTTTCATTGCGGTGTCTTGCTTCATGCACATTACATAATCTTGCTTATATCATAATTTAAGGGAGTGCTCGGTTATGCTGGAAATAGGCAGATGAAAAGGAGAGTCAGAAAAATGTGGAGTGAAATTTATGCTTGCTTTGTGCAATTTAGCAAGTGAATGCAACTTGTTTTAATTCTAACCTATAAGCATACAAGCACAAAGGGACGAAAATCGATTTCTCTCTTCAAACCAAACGCAAGCCATCAACAAATCAACACCATAACAGGATAAAAAGCAAAACTTTACCATCGTACTCCAGTTTTTCTCCCCTGCCCAGTGCCAATGACTTCTCTCACATGATATAGATCTAGCTTAAGATTGGAACATAAAACAAAAATGCATTGATAACTGACAGCTGCTAATAATACGGGAACCAGTAAATTGCTACAAATTCACACAAAATCATATTGTGTACTATTCTCCTTGAATGGCCAGAATAAGTTTTACTGAGACAGCCATAGTGCTTGTGAAAACTCTGTGGGGTAGGCTTAAGGGTGAAATGAGGTACAGAAGAATGAAAATAACTCTTATATATGTTTGACTGAGAATGTGAGTTGAGATCTAACGTGTCTTCCAATTCTCATTAGTTTCAAGTGCATGTGTGTTTTTCTGAGTCAGCGGTGATTAATGTAAATTCCTTTGCAGAAGTTGTGGCCGTGTGAAGCTTCCGCACTTCTTCTGTTGCAGTGGCGATAGAAGTAATACAGGTGAGCAAAGTGGATCGACCAGCTAGTCACGGTGTCTACATCTGAAGCAAGTGTTACTCTAGCCAAAGCGATTACATGTTGACTTTCCTCTTGATCGTTAGCTGTTCGGGGGATTTGTAGCGTTGTGTTTGTTTTATTTTATTTCATTTATTAACATGACCGTGGTTTTCATCCTTTGGAAGCGGTGAACGGAAAGAGTTCTAGAATTTTCGAGTTTGTGTCTTGCTTGCGTTGATATTTCTAATAATACAGTCAAGGCAAAAGGTTAGCTATTTCTTGTTGAAATATTGTCAAGTTAAAGCGAACCATTATCCCCAAGAAGGTTTAAAAACAAAAAAAAGAAGTTAAAACAACATATTACTCTAAATTATCATTTACAAGTTTTTTAGGATTATTAATACAAGTTACTTGACAAAATATTTAAAATGTTAATTTTTCAGGATGCGCTTTTCGTTGGGCCAAAAAAATAAAAGGAGGCCTTTGTCTTTATATGCAGAAAAAATGACTCTTGTCCCTAATATAAATATTAGTTAAAGAATATATATGGTTTTAAATATAAAATTTTGATTCACTTTTTCCTGTTCTGGTTATTATTTTCTCTTAAAATAATTTACCTAATTTATAATCTAATATTACTTTAAAATGTTTTCAAGTAATCATGTCACAATTTGCTATAATTAATCAATTTATTTGACTTCTTTATTTTACCCAAGTTAGTTAAAGAACCTAAAGGATAATATATAAAAAGAAGTAAATGATTTTATGAAAAAATTAAGATACAAAATTAGTTTATTGGAATGAAATCAATAATACTGTCGTTTTATTTTTTAACTGTTATTTTCCATTTTCACGTTTTGCTCCCCCCCGTATTTTGCATTTGCAAGGGCATGTTCTTTTTTAATTGAAGGTAACAAAGTGTTAGTTTTAGTGTTAATTAGAGGCATATTAAATAGCTTTAAATTGACATTATTATAACAATGAGCATATTCCAATTTTAATTAAAGATTACAATAGTGTCAAATTTTATGTTGTTTGCATGTTAAATAGTTTCAAATAAACATTTTTGTAATAGTGATTTTCAAGATGCTTTGTGAGTTATAATTGATGCTAGTTAATTGAAGAAAAGCAAATAGACACAAGCTTAAATTTAATTACATGTTAGCAGAAACAAGAATCGAATTCAACATAAATTACAATCATGAGTGGATAAGCCCCACATTTCAGGAGACAATCACACCTATCAGCGGCACGAGCTTATGATTTCACCTAAATAAATATACACAATGGGCAAGAGTGCGAACATCACACAGCAGAAAGGCAAAACAATAGGGGATATTTACACAAAGAAAATGACATTATTTGCCAAAGCCTCCAACCAATATTCAGGATTTTTCTTCAGGACCGAGTGCAGCTGGCTCCCACGGAGGCTAATGAATAAATTCCATAGACGATCAGTAGAGTGCATCCTACCCAATATTTCCAGATGTATTCACAGCTGACGGGTGCAGCAGCATAGCACGATGATTCAACCGTGTGTATGGTGCTCCTGATATCATGTTTGTACTTTGTTGCAACTACGCAGAGAAGAGAGAACCAAAAAATATGATATCATGGGCGATATGTTGATTCATCTTGCTTGGGTGTTCTCATCAGCATAGATGCTAACACAAGCATCTGCATCACCAGCGGCCAGCAATACTTGGTATGGATGAAAACTGAGACAGCTGACGGAACCAATTTTCTGGGCCATCAAGGTTGGATAATATCTAATACAGCCTAGTTGGTCACCCTCCAGGCTAAAGACTTTGATGATTTGTTTGGCTGAACCACTGGCTATAATCGGAGCATGTCTATGCACTGCTAAAGCTGTAAGTGAGCCCCTGTGAGCATCAATAGTGAGATAGGCATCTGTCTGATTTCTGATATCAAGGAATTGTATATCCCCTGCCTGAGAAGCACTGACAATCTGAAGGGAAAAACATGCCATATGATTTCATCTTCCATGTTAAATCAAAATAAATATATTGCGGGCCATTATTCCCCAAAAAGTGTAGCAAGATTTACAAATTATAGACAAAGGCATGCAACCAGCAAGATATTCCTCTTACCTTTCCTGGATCTAGTCCAGGTTGAAAGCTGATCCCCACAACCTTTTCTACTCGTTGTGTGTGGGGCCGTAATTCACAGACAACCCTAAGAACATCATTTTACAGCAACAAAGATTAGTGAGGCAACAAGTGGCTTGTATATACATCATTCTAGGACTAACTGAAAAGGACAGGTCTAAGTATCAAGATACACCTAACCATAGAGAAAGTATTATAAAACAGAAGCCAACAATCATGAAAGGAGAAATTCATTAATCTGAGAAGCTTACATTTCCGGTGTCCTGACATCATAGAGTCTTACAGAACCATCAACAAATCCAGCTGCAAATTGTCCCCCATGAACTTGAGATGCAGCCTGAACATAATGTATGATATATCAGTGAAACAGGATTTAGATGTGTAATCAGCATAACACATGGTACAAAATAAAACTGGAAGATAAAGGAATAAAGACAACGTGATCTGTTCAAAGGTTTGATGGAAAAGAACAAGTTGATTCAGGATATTGTAACAAGCTTAGTTTTCAGATCTGGAAAGGAAACCTCAAGTGGCATCAGAGTTTATAAGACAAATTATAACCAGTAATGAGAGATAAGTCAACTATGAGAACATACAGTGGTTAATTAAAATAAATCAACATAGAATTTGGATAAGGATACGATACATCTGATTCACCATTATTTAAAAATTACATTAAAATGCAAATTCTAATAATCTATAGTGTAGATTTAAGTTGATGTTTTCTTGGAAAAATATACTTGTACTTCAAAGCAGCACCTTGGTTATTCCTCTCGACTTTATGGATAAAGGCTGAAAAAAATGCATGCACACATAAATACATCGATGCCCATATATGTTCACACACCCATACGAGTTATGTATTTGTAAATTATGCCAATGTGCCAATATGCGTGCTTGCCTGTGGGCTTATACAAATGTGACTATATCTGCAGTGGTATATATTCACACGTGTGTTACACATACATATGCGTTCTCATATATATCAGTAGGCACACATGCATGTGCAGCGTGAATTACATAAATGTGGCCATGTATGTTCAGGCACACATGCATGTGCAGCGTGAATTACAGAAACGTGCCCATGTATGTTCTCATGCATGGATGTGCTAATGTACATTTGACGCATATGTGCCTCTACATGTGTGAGCATGCGCATCCAAGTATGGATGTGCGTGTCTACATATGCTTGTATATGTGCATTTGTGTATGTGTAATGACGGAAGTGAATGGCTCCACAAGATATCTGTGATTTGTTAGATTGGTCCAGAGCCACATCTATTAAACTTTGGATCCTAAATTTGTCAATATGGTGCATGCCTGAGGCTTATCTCTTAGTTGAACCAAATAGGGCGTTTAATGGACCAGTGATGGAAGATCAGATTGCCATCCATATGTTAAACCAATAGTTAACTAGCTGTTTCATAGAGTTCTTATTTTTA